GATCGACATTTTTTTTTCTCTCCCATGGTTTTTCCCTATGTACTTTTTTGTCTCCAATTTTTTCCCCTTTCGACAGGCAAGGTCTAATTCGAAAATGAGAATGACGGGGCCTCCGCGCTTCCCTCCCGGCTCGTCGACGTCTCGCCGGCGGAGTTTATGAAATATTAATGAGATTCCGAGTTTTCCCTCAAAAGTCGAGAGACAGCGGCTCTTACCGAGGCACGTGCACGCGATGACAGGGGGTCTTAAATTATTTCAAAGAGACCCCGTCTCTCGTGGCTTGGAAAAACTCTCGTTGTTCGACGCAGGAAAATCGCGGCCGACCTCACCCCCTCCCGAGGGAAATATTGACTAAAAATTGAAGCACGCCATTTTTATCGAGTTTCCTTGTACCCCTCGTGTCGGAATATATGATAATTCCTTTTCCACTTTTTCCCATCTCTTTTCGAGACGTGAGTTTGGAAGGCCCTCCACCTTTCCCCTGGAAATTCCACTCGATGCTATGGGCGCTCCTTCTACATCCAAATTCCGCATCTCGCAGCCTGGGAAATGCTCGGAACAATTCTTTTCCCGGGCAGACGAGTCGCGAAGAGCGGAACTGCGTAACCGAGGGAGGCCCCTGCAATATTTATCCGCGATTTACATAACTTCGCGAAAACTTTTGCCCACCTCCCCGGCATGGCCCCGTAAAACGCGAGTCTCTCCGCGGGTCTTTTCAGTTAAGCAACTCGGCAATTTCCCTCCTCTGGGTTTTAATTAAGAAACAGGAAGCGAGCCGAGAATTTGATGGAGTCGACTCGACAAAGCGCGAACCCTTTGCCGGCGATCACGTAAGGGGTGAGAAAATTAAACGATTACTCAGGAAAGATATGAAAAATTCAATGAAAAATTATTGTCACCACCAGACAAAGGTGCCGATTAAGTGCTACATTTTGGCATTATTTGCTATTGGTGCCTTTTTAATACGAAAATTAATGGACGAGTTCAAGTCGACTTGACAAAGCGCGATCGCTGTGCCGGCGATCACGTAAGGCGTGAGAAAATTCAAAGATCCCTCAGAAAAAAAATGAAAATTGAATGAAAAAATTCTTATCACCGCCGGACAAAGACGCCGATAAGGGGCGACATTTTGGCATTATTTGGTATCGGCGCTTTTTTAATATGAAAATTAATGGACGAGTTTAAGTCGACTTTACAAAGCGCGATCGCTGTGCCGGCGATCACGTAAGACGTGAGAAAATTCAAAGATCCCTCAGAAAAAAAATGAAAATTGAATGAAAAAATTATTATCACCGCCGGACAAAGACGCCGATAAGGGGCGACATTTTGGCATTATTTGGTATCGGCGCCTTTTTAATATGAAAATTAATGAACGACCCGAGCATCACGTGGGTGATGCGGCGCGAGGAGGGGGAACGAAAGAGAGCAAGGCTAGTATTGTTAAACGTCACAATTTGCTTCGTTAAGAGGTACACGGGACATGTTGCGAGCCGCGAAGCATGGAAACGCAGTTACCACGGACATGCTATACAATTTCATCGTCGATTCAAAGCCGCGTCAGCTCGGCACGACCGTCCGACGTTAAAGTGGTCGGACTCAGACGACTGGCCTTGCACAAAGCGATTCAATGCACCCTTCCCTCGCGAACGAGGTTCTAGGTGCATATACACACTCTAGGTGCACATAGGTATACATCCATTCGGCGAGGTTGTACGATCGCTGCCTACGAAAGAACGGATCCGCAAGAACGGCGCCTCCACTGTGAGGTTTCTTGCATATAAGTGCATGGAATCGCCTAAGAGACTTTTAGGCTAGCTGAAAAGAAACGCGGTTAAAACGATATATAACATGTATATTAATGTATATATTCAGGTAAATTCATAGAGTCCGGAATTAATTCGGAAATAATGCAACAGGTATTCGTTAGGATGAGCGCAGCTCATTTTTAAGGTTTTAAAGGTGTCTAAAAAAAATTGTAATCCACCCGAGGTATTAAAAATGTGTAATTAAGGGATTTTGGGTCTGGATAAACGGTAGATTTTTAGACTGGGGCAATTCTTGGATAATTTTTATGTAAGTAGCGTAGAGGTGGTGAAACGGCGATCAGCGGAATTCTTTTTCCACCCTTTCGCCTTCTGTTTCGCGAAAGCAATATCCCGAAAATGCGTTCAGGTGGAGGATGCACGCGTTTCTCGGTATTAAAAGGCGTCGCCTCGATACATGTATATCGCCTCAAAGGACCCCACGACCCAGTTGCAAGGTATCGAGGGAAACTCGGGTGGAACGCGATGCAAATGAAACTGCGATCGGGACGGACCTTTTGCGACCTTCTCTTTCCTGCTTTCCGCTTTTCCTCCTTCTTCAGGTTCCCTTGGAAAGTCCTACCCTTCCCCTCGAGTCGCGACTCCTCGATACCTCCCCCTTTTTCCCGATAATTATTCCCATTGTGTCTTAGTTTCCTCCTTGCACCTATAACCGAATCGCAGGAACAGACGTGGCCGTTCTTCGGAGACTGGAAATGGTTCCCTGGGGAGGAAGCGTTCCGAACGCGCGGATCAATACGGAATTCTACCTACTTCCCTCGATAACAAATTACTCTCTTATCATCTCCGTTATTCGTCGTGGGTATCCTCGAGTTTGCGGGAAAAATCGGTCTTGGTCCCTGGATTTGCTAATCGCGTAAAATTGAGAATAATTCCTTAGGCTTTCTGAAAGTGTGAGAGATAAAAATTTAAATTCCACGTCTTGCAGGGGAATTTCTCAATTTCATTGGATGACGATTTCTTGAAATTAAAATTAAGCCTAGGTTTCATTGACGCCGTTCTCTGATCTTGGGGGCAAATTATCAATTTCTCATTCCGTGCCTCGATGCTCCAGCTTTCGGGCTGGGTCCATCCTCTAGAGTCCTCTAGGAGTCAGGTCCGTCCTACGGAATGGAGACATCCTATTCGTCGAGGAGCACCGGGTTCTTTCACGGTATTCCTATTCACGGTGCATACTTGGTTACCGCGACTGCACAATCTCCGGTAATGATTGGTCGTCATGGCAACGGCTTCCTTCTCCGGAGATCGGGGACTCTTTTTGCTCGGACCATCGGCTACTGTCGTCGACTTCGAAAGTAGGGATCTCCTCGTCCCCGAGTTTAAATCTCGGATATAGAGGATTCAACCGAGATCCCCTCCTAACTTTTCATTTTCTACCGCGTATTAAACCGCCGGGCCTTTTCCTGGCGGAACTTCGAGACGGGAAAGGACGACCGAGATCCCGAGGAGATGGATAGTTATCTCAGGGACGAATTAGAGAACTCTCCCGGGGAAAAGGAATAAAAATTAATCGTCCTGCCAATTATCCCGCCGATCGAATCGGGAATGAAATCGAAGGGAAAAAAAATGAGGAAAGGGAGACGCGATAACGAGTTGACGTATCTAGACGTGCAAAGACTTCGCCGGTCGCTCCATAAGGAGATCTCATGACTCCCCTGTAATTGGCTGAAATTGTCGAAGAATGAGGCGAGCATTCCTTTCGATCCTCGGTTCTCGTTTTCTGGATTGTAAAAAAAAAAAAGAAATGTAAACTCCCCGGAGAGATCTCTCTAGAGTGGCGATTTCGCGGGTAATTGGGAGGATTTATTCCCTCGTAATGTTTCGCGAGTACGCGGATTAAGTCGTCGACGGTTGACGAATTAATTCCTCGGGAATTAATTGCACTTTCCGCTCGATCGCAGTTTTCTGTCGCAGGGGAGTTCCTCGGTGTCATTTTGCGGATTTTCAGTGCCCCCTTTCAGATCCATATTAAAGTAATTAGTGGATATTGCGCGTCTCCATGATTCGAAATCTCCTGAAAAGTTGACTTTGTGGGCCAGGGTTCTTGAATGAAATTCCCTTAAAACAAGGGCTGGAAATAGAAGCCGAGGTCTGATGGAAACAACTGCGTGGGACGTCTTCGTGACGGGGAAAGTAGCTTCTCCACTTAGAGGCTCGGGGTTTTATGCACGATACCTTAGAGGTGTGCCACCTGAGCACCGAGAGCATATCTCCGACGTCGACTCGGCTTCGGCTTGACGCGTCTCTCGGCTGGAAAGTGCGACATTAGCGAAAGACCCGCTGAAAGGCACGGAACGCCAAAAGAGGGCATAAATACCCAGAAAAGTACCGCCGCAAAAATACCCGAACGCGTACTCGACTCTAAAAGCGATCGGTATAGGGTTGGAACCCTCGTTGCATCGCGTATCACGCATTACCTAAATTTCGGAATCACTGGGAATAGAATTTCTACCGGAGGATCGAATCATGGAATTTCAAGAGAGGCCAAATTGTGGGGCTGGAAGCTGATTCGAGGAGTTGGCGCGGCTCCTCCACCTCAGGTGGCATTCGAAAAGTTTTGTCTTGGGATACCTGAGGGCACCTTGCTCGCCTGTGGGGGGCGACAACCCATCCTTTGGGAATTATTATGTATAGGGACCCCTAATTTTAACGGAAACTGTGCCCTCGACGGCTCCGGCAATTTCTCGAAGCTTGCTCAAGTAGTTTCCATTCCTTTCGGATAAACGATGCAGCTCGTTCTGCGAATGTCTTGGCGCCATTAAGTAACGAATCGATCTCGTGCTTTTGCGGAATATTGCCGAGGCACTTGGGGGGATTTAAACGACCGAGTTTCGCACAGGCGAGGTCGAAGTACGGGCTCGGGAAGTTCACTCGCGAGGGCTCGTGCAGTTTGTCTCAGGTGGCAATCGGAAAGTTTCAGCCCCGAATATACCTGGGGGCACTTTACTTGACTAGTTACTGCCAATGAGCATTATGTCGATCCAACGTGTATAGGTACGCTCGACTTGTCCCACCTCTCTCTCTCTCTCTCTCTGCCGGCAAATCGCGCCTTCGACGGGCTTCCGATAGTTCCTAAGCTCCCCGAGAACCTCCATCGACTTTGCGAAGACTTGCCCGAGCATTTTCAAAAAATCCTTCGAAATTAATAACTAAAACCCCTGTTTTCTCTCGTTCCAGGGGTGCCTTCTCCGTGGTGCGCCGTTGCGTGCAGAAAAGCTCCGGACTCGAGTTCGCAGCGAAGATCATCAATACCAAAAAGCTCTCCTCCAGAGGTAAGTCGCATTTTTGGTGCCCATCACTTTTAAAAAATTCCTCATAGCTAAGAGATGATTGAACAATCCTAAGATAATCACGGAGATTATTTTCCTATTTTTTGAGTGGCTGGGGGAAATTTTCGTAAGCACCTTTTTTGCCTGTTTCCTTGTTTTGGGGACCTTGGACCCACATTTTGGGCCTGAAAGCACATCGAGCACGAGACCTCGCGAGAGTTCGGTTTCTCGTGCCGCCTAATGTCTAAAAACAACGAGCGACGCCGTTGTCACTCTGCCAAGATTCCATCGCGACGAACGATTTGCCAGTGCCGTGCCATGGTTGGTCCCCCTGCTCCGAAGTTTCTTCCTCGAGCCGCAATTTTGGGCTCACTTCCGTCGCTAATCTCGAAATAGGAGCGTCTCGGAGGCTCGAGTTTCGACAAAAATCAGCCGGGCCAGGTCTCATAATTCAGTCCATAATTTCTCTTCATAAATCCCTTTATGCCTCGATTTTCCTTCCTATTAAAGATTCCGGAAGTCGGTTCCGGAAAGGAACCGGGTGGCATGTAATTCCTCCGTTTTTACGCGTCACGCGAGCCGACTCGATTAGTCTCGCCTTATCAGAGCTTCGATTTGGAGATAGCTCCACGAGGTTCCACCCTTATCAGTCAGATATCGCGGTACCTGGTACTCGTAATATTTAAATCCCGCTTCCGGTCGGGTCACCGATCACGCGATGGTTGCGACGACCTCGCCCCTGTCTTAACAATTAATTCACGAAATTTCGAAATTCACCCGCTGACAACGACAAGAATCAGATTTTCCCGAAAGCCCCCCGTGGGATTTTTCGAAAGCCGAAAAGAGGCGAAGGAAACTACCACCTTTCCTGGCACAGCCAAAATGTGAACGAGGACGGAAGCCAAACGAGCGTTATAATCGAATCAATTAAAATACACTGTAGAATCTCATCCGATAAACGGCGTCGAGTTACGATGGAATCGAATTAGTGGCTGCAACCGGTGCGTCGAAAAAATCGGTCTACGGATGCATACTTGCACGATTTTTGGTACCCGTTTCTTAATTCCCGGACTCTCGCGCTATATAAAAAAAATAAGGAATATCAAAATATGTATGTGAAAAAAGTAAAAAAAAAGTTTCCTGTCTCCTCTCCTTGGGATCAAACCCTCGACCCTCCTACCGTCGCGCAATTAATTCCGCACTAACGCTTCGGGGGAATTTCGATTTGATTATAGAGCCTTATCGCACGTAAAACTAATCGTCTCTGCAATTGCACCTTACATTTGCAGGCTCCTTCCGTGGAAACAAATTATTTCCCCTTTTACGGGGTAATTGCTTTGGGCGGTAACGTCGCGCGGTGCAAACGGGCGACGGTTAAACATCGAGTGTCGTTCTCGGGCTCGTTCCAAGTGTTTCCCTCACTTTACTTCTGTTTGCGTAGACACATTCATGCACGCGTGTATATGTATATTTGATGGCCGGTACTTGCGCGGGGACGTTTTTAACGAATTTCGGGTATTTCGGGGCTATGGAGTCACAAGGGCCGCTCCAAATCGAATCTGCTCGGTCAATGTTTCGATGCTCCGGTGCTCCGATGTTTAACGACTTTACCTGCCAATCAATACGCCACGGCCAAATATCGGTTTGAAATTCCCTGGGAAAAATCCGCCATCGCCGTCGCATTTTACCTAGCCGAAGTAAACGCCTCGTCATTTCGCGAAATAACGAGTGATAGCAGACTCCGCGATCGCTACCAGTTCCCTTAATCTTCATCTTGTAAATCGATTCCCTCACGAGTGATCGACAAATTCGGGGATGATCTCTCCGTGAAACTACCCACCGGAGGTAGTTTCGCGAAGTAGTTCTCACGGACGGAGGGGAATGGGGGAGGGAAAAGAAATGAAAAAGGAATGAAAAGGAAATGAAAAAGGAACGAGGTCGATCGCGCGCGGCTCGACGTCGTCTGGCTCCGGGGCAGGATTTATCGTCCCGGTTGAAAAGAAAACTCGAAAACCGATCAGCTCGACGAGGATGACCCGACCTAGAGCCGACGGCCTCGAGGAGGTCCTCGAGGTTGCGAGCACCTACGAGGAAGAGGCCGGGAAGGAAGCGCGACCTTAGAACCTTCCTCTGTCGGCACTCGACAGATTTAGAGCCGTGGGTCGCATACATCGGATGCACCGAAGGACAGGACGAATGACAAAACGAGGCAGGAAATGCGAGGAATTCGACTCTTGCACTCGACCCTGCGAATGGAAAACGTCGTCATCCCCAGCGAATCGTGGCATTGAATTTGATCAACCCTCCGAAAGGAGCGGCGAGTTAAAAATCAAAAGAATGAAATTCGGGAAATTCAAGACCCTCGGCCCGTTGTAAAATCGAAAATAAGAATTCCTAAAATTCGGGAAATTTGTTGAGTTCCTCCCTCTTTGGATATTTCGAGGGGTTCTTTACGGGATTGCGGAATCGAAGCGAAATGGGGCTGAAAATGGCGCGGGGGTATTTATTAATAATAAAAATATAAAGTTTAGGGTCGGCCTCTGTGCGGGCCGTTCGCACCTGTTAAGAGACGGACGCGGTTAAATGCCAGAGAGGGTTCCCTCGAGGAGAGGATCGATCCGCATATCGGGGAGGCAAAAGGAAAACCCGGAGGCTTTTTCCGGAGAACCGTCGCTCGTCCTCGCGCTCGTAAAGGGGCTTGCCGGTCTCGATTTTTATGGGGTGCAGACTTTACGGGCCGCGGCAAAAATGGGCACCACCGGAAGATACAAGCTTTATTCCCGGGCCCCCCAATCCCCGGCTTGGCCGCGCCACGAATTTTCCCCATTTTCCGTATAGAATTTTTTTACGCCGCCCAGTTTACCTCCAGGCGCTAAGGGGAAATATTCACTTTTGATTCCGGGCGACCTTGAACCCTCCCACGCCATCCACCCTGTCCCTAGAAAAAGTCCCATCAAAGAATTCCGACGAACAGTTTCGATTTAAAAAAAGGAAAAGTAAGAGAGAAAATATAAAAAGAGCGGCGGCTACCGCAGGCGGGGGTTTTCCATTTCAAAGGCACCGCGTGTGTTTTTTACGGGATACAAACTTTATGAGCCGTGGCAAAAACGCTGAATACCCCGAGATATACAAGCTTTATCCCTGGACCCGCCAGTTTCCGCTTACACCTGCGCCTCCCTATCCGACTGCTCTAGCTTTGGGTATATACTTTTTTTTCCACGGTTTCCGGTTTCCAGAGAAAATGAAAAAAAAAAAGAACAAGCGGGGAGTAAAAGTCGTTTTCAGTGACCTTCGCTCGTACCCACGTTCGGCAGGGGTCCTCTGTAATTTGGAAAAATTTCGGGAAAGTACCCTGTAGGTGCTCTTCGAGGGTAAAGAGCCACCCCTGGAGAGTCGCACGAAGGGTTCGGGTTACTCAACGCGAGATAGGTCGTTTAACGGCGCTTTTTTTTTTTCCCCTCTCGTTAGTTCTCCCCCTCTCGAGGATTTCGAAAATCTCCCGACAAAATGGCCTACTTGTTCCGCTCCCTGGGGTAGCGGTTTACGAGGAATCAGACCCCCTCGGTGTGCTTAAAGGCCGGGCTCCAGATGGCGCGAGCAAAGCGCAGCCACCCTTGCCTCGAGTCCATTGGAGAGGGTGGTCCTCTCTTCTTCCCTTCCCCCTTCCTCCTTTATTCCTCTCCTGCTCTCCACCTCGCTTCCTCTCTGGCTCTCTTCCACCCCCGGCTCGCCGCGGCACAAGGGGATGGAAATTAATAAGCGAAGCCAGGAAGCCCAGAAGAGGGCTCTCGCATGTCACGACCTTGCCCCAGTAACCTCTTGACCTAACCTCGCACATATGGCGTACCTGTCGTGTTTCGTGCATGTGTACCCACACGTATATATAATGTACACCGCGTGCGCATTTCATGTATGAATAAATCCCCATCGAGGACCGCCGGGAGAGAGGAGGATTTATTATTTACCTGTCCCCGGAACTGAAATTCCTCCGAGGGCGCCGAGGGGGATCAACGAGGCTTTGATCACTATTATTTTCCTGCTAGACGGTGCTCGGAAATTATTCCATGCGGTTACTCTACTGTCTTAATTTATCTATTTTTTTATGGACACGGATATTTATTTTCGGCATAAGTTCACTCGTTTTTTTTTTTTTTAGAGAGATAACTTGGGAACGCGATTTGTGACGATTAAGTGGTGATTATGCAAGGGAGGGGGTGAATTTTTAAGCTTTTGTTTGATTAGTCGTCATTGTTGGGGAGAGGTTAGGATGCCACTCGCAGGCACTCCGGGACGTATGGAATCGTGCGTGCGAGGTGAAACTTATGGGGTTATTTTTACCCCATGGTCTTGCGGTGGCCCAGGTGCGAACGCGTGCGACCAACCCCTGCTTCTGTTACGGCGCCCTGGTAACGAGTTTAGCGCAAACAAGGAGGGGCTTGTTAGGTGCGTGGTGATATTACCCGTCGTCCCTTACTCTGCAACCCGCGGCCGCCATTTTGTTAGACGACGCAATGCGCTTCGCGTTTTCGGAAAAGTTGGAACCAAAATCCAATAATTCTGCGGAAAAACTGGCGTCCTTGTTTTTCGATTTCCCGGGGTCGTCGTAAACGGGGCCGAAACGAAACAAACGAAACAACCCTTGCCGTTCCCTCGCGGTCCCTCGGGTTGCTAATGAGTTTAACGCGAACAAGGGTGGCTTGTTAGCCTCGCGGCCGCCTCCGCTCCGCCACCCCTCTCGGGGGTGCTCTGAAATTTTGCAAAAAACGACGCGACAAGCACCCTGGCTGACAGTTTCGTGTTCGATGAAATTGCAAAGGAGAGGGTAGGGTGCGCGTTGAATTATTCACCGGCGGCGAGACAAAGGCTTGGGCCCGGCATTAGCCGATAATTGTTGCGCCCTTGGAAAAATTACGCTTGGATGAATTATGACTTTCCAAAGGCTTACTTGGTAAACACCGACTCTGTAGATTCGTTACAATCGCTGTTATTAACAACGTTAGCGACGTAGAATGTAATAAATGTCGACAGAATTACTCTTTTTAACTTGGTCCAAGCCCCGGTTCTAAAATCAATTCGATTTCTCCCGCCGTTATCATTTTTTTCTTAAGAGTGGATCTTTATTTCTGACGCTCCCTCTACACAGTTTAAAAGCGCGAATATCAAGAATCAGTCGTCGGGCGTTCCGAAATCAGAGCTTTTGTCCAGCCAGGCTGTCCCTTTTTCAAGAGTCGAATTCGCGCATTCGCGTCCTGCCTCAATAATCCCGGACTTGTCCCACGCCGCGTCAATTCCAATTTCAATAATCTCCGACCGGAAGTGGCGACCGAGTTTAGGGGCGGCGATCGATGACTCGGCCCTGCCGAAAACCAGGCGGGGGTAAATCGGGAATCCATATTCCTAATATTCCTGATTGTCCTAATTTTCCTAATTTACCTGATTTACCTGATTTTCTTCGGTCCCTCGCAGACACCAAGGAGGTCGGTCCTTGCCCCATGAATTTTCTGGGTAGGTCTCGATTCGACCCGCCGTGGAGATCGGGCTTTAATACCTTGCCCTAGGTCGGGCACAACCCCTTAGGCACTCCTTTCGGCCCCACGCGGGGCCGCGATGCATATGCATGACTCTCCTGCATAATTACCAGCTTCGCGTGTGGCTCGAGACAGGAAGGTGCACAGGTACGCGTACATACCCACGTGTTGAAAAATGATAAAAAGAAGGGGGAAAAAGAGGGGAAAATCTCCACTTTAGGGAAGAAAACGCCCTCTCCGAGACCGTGGGGTGGGCTCTTAAAATTGTCCATGCAGCTTCCGAAATGCCCAAATGGGACGCCGCAGTGCACCTTGGCGGAAGTACGTGTAACTCGTTGTTTGCGGAACACGTAAATACGCAACGAGCCTCCGTAAGGATTTTACGGGGGGAAATGGGGGACGTGCACCCCTGCAACGCTCCGCCGAGGAGTTATGCAAAGTATGCACGACCACGTGCGCGTTAAATATGTTATTAGGTGGATGAATGAAGCGCCACGTCTAGCGTGATAGAAAACTTATTGCCTGGTTTGTATGCAACGAAGGGGGCCGCCATTCGCCAGGGGCACTCAACCCCTTTTCGGGGAATTCAGAGTTTTTCCTCAGCCCGACCGTAGGTGATGAATTTTTCATCCCCCTTTTTCCTACTTTATACGTGTAGGTACACCTCTCTACGTCACTCGGGACTTACACTCTTACATTTACGCCTCGTGGTTTCCCCGTTTCAAAGAAATATGACTTCGCGTCTCCCCCGACGTGCCTAAATCGACTCTCCGGGTGGGTTTTCCACGAAGGAGACATTTTTTTATCCCCCTTTCCGCGGGGAATACTCGTCGCGATGATTAAAACGAAGTTCCGCAATTGCGGGAAGGAGCCAAGAGGGCGGGATTAATTTCTTTTTTTTTTATCCACATTTATCGACGGCTCGGAATTAATTCGCGATCTGAGGAAATTGACCACTGGAGGATACTTTCTGATAGAAATTATTGAGACATGTGTTTTTAGCAGATTTATATTGCCATTTTGTGAATGTGCAGAATTAATGTTACTTTTCCTCGGAGTCTTCTTTCTTTCACTCGTCGATGTTTTAACTTTAGGAGTTTCGGAGTGGCCGATAAAGATCGGACGGTTTTTTCCGAGTTTCCGGGGCTTCTGGTGAAATAAGGCCTCGTGTGTAGTTTGTAAAATAGGTAGAAACTCCTTTGGCAACTGCGAGAACTTAAGGGGGAAGGCAGGGAGGGAAGAAGTGCTGGCTCTTTCGGAATGATTAATCGATTTTCGGACTTTTCCTGGGGAGACTCGATTCGGACACCTCGTGAGGTACGATCGCACTTTGTTTCCGAAGTACGCCGAGGGGAGAAAAGTTCCGGGGGATTTTTCCAAGTCGAATCTTCCCCCTCGGTGTATTTCCCGCGAAGACCCCATCGCTCCCACCGAAATCGGATTCGAGTCGTGCAATGAGTTTTCCCCGGTAAACGTTTCCCTGTAAATTTCCTCCCCTTGAGTCCAACGACTACTTCGACATGAAATATCAATTAAACATGGCCCCCGGAATTATGTTCAAATTATTATCAATTAATTCCCGTCACTTCCAGCTCCTCCCGCGAAGCGTCGCACCTGATCTTTAGGAAAGATCCTCAGGGTGGTTTTCTCTCCTCCCAGAAGGACTTTTCACGCGAATACGCCACTTTTCCCTGACAGAATAAAAGCCACGTCCGACTCCTTCGAGGGTGGAAAATAATTCGATTCCAAGAGAGGTTTTCGCCCCCGCGATTCGCGCGATAAGGGGTTCGAGATACAAATAAGAGGGAGAATATTTATTCCTCGAGTATCTTGATCGATCTCTAAAGCACCTTTATGTGAAATTTGCAAAATTTCCCCTCTCCGTTAGAGTAATATTAAAATTGCTTTTGCCTTCATTTTCTATTACACTTCATACCGATGCTTCTCCTTTATCATTTCTCGTTTATTTTATTGTATATCCTACATACCTTGGTATAATGCCCTGGGTCAAAAGTAAAGGAGAAAAAGAGAGGTCGGAGGATTAGGGGAGGAAACCCAGGGGAAACTCTTTCGGGACCCCCATGAGTTTTCCCTTGAAATAACGACCTGTCTTGGGGGGTGACGGACTAAGGGCCAGAAAAAAAACGGGGTTTCGCAGACGTGATCTCGGCCCGAAGCCGAGTAGCAGACAAAACGTCATTTTTCATTCGTCCTAAGCCACAACCAATTGGTCTTTCTCGTCTCGAGGGTCTCGACGGATCGACGACGTGGATGAAAGAGGGTGTTTTTGTGCGGTTGGCGTTTCCACCATGGATCACGTCCGAGGGACGTGAAAACGTTCGCGATTCTTACTAGCAAATGGAATATTTCACCGACCCCAAAAATACGACCCAATGACTAATTCCATCCTTTTTGTTGCAGATTTCCAGAAGCTCGAGCGCGAAGCACGGATATGTAGGAAATTACAGCATCCAAATATCGGTGAGTTGGAAGAATTATTATTAAAAAATATTTACAAATCCGCATAATTGAAGCCGGCAGCGCAGCGGTAAAAGTTTTTAAAAAAGTGAAACAGTCTTGTGCCTTGATATACCGAAAATTAATTATACATGAGAGTTCTGTTAAGATTTTTAAGGTCGAGCCTTTTACCGTGAAAAGAAAATGCCTGACAGAATCAATCGTCTAGCTCGTCCCTTTTAGCCCGATCAGCCTGAGGAGACGTTGTCAATTGAATTTCATCAATAAATCCCAATAATACAGGCAATCGCGATGGTCGATTGGGTAACCGCGACTGCGATTCATCGAATTGCGGTCTCGTTGCCTTAGGTGGTAAGAGTCGGATAGGCCGTGATTGGTCAATTGATCCTATAAATCCAAATTGAATGCATCGACGCCAATCAGATGATCGGATCGAGACCCACATAGAATGACAAATCGACTCGTGGTCGAATGACAGAAACACGACATGGCCTCCGGTCATGTTTTCTCGATTTCGACCTCGATATCGATCAGCTGATTCTTCTTGAGATTGCCTGGATATAACAATGAAAATGGCGAATTTTTTTTTACGAAGCTCATGGAGGGTTGAAAATATTTTCAACGAACGTAGACCTTCCCAGAACCCGAAAACGTTCCCTGGGGTGCATTTGGGGAGTAATCCCGAACCCCTGTCGGCCCCTACTTGTGGGTACACCCGACTTGAGAATTTTCCAATCGCTATAATCGGAGCACGAGCGCCGTTAAGCTCCTCGGCGTTCCTCTGGCCCCGGAGAAAGGTCGTAAAAACCGAAAGCGGGGAATAAAAATGCCGAGGAATAAAAATAAAAATGGAGGGAAGCTTTCGACGGGGGTGGCGCGGTCGCAGGATGCAGGGGGTGCATAAAGCGGCTCTTTCGAGCCGTGAGGAAAAACACCGAGAACAACTGCACTGCGGTGCAGCTTTTGCTGCGGCTCTGGGGTGGATTTTGGGGGAGAAAGAGGAAGGGACCCCGTCTCGTCGGTAATGGCGGAATCGTCGCTCGGTTTTCCAAAAGAGGGGAAAAAGGGAGACTCCCTCTGTCGGTAAATGCATTCCTCGGGGGTCGGGCTCTGTCTCTCTCCGACCCCTGGCGACACCCCTTTTGTGTCCTTCTCTGGTCCGGTTTCAAAGGAACCCCTCCCGCTTTATTACCCTCCAAGAGACTCGGTATCTCGACTACTCGAGCGCGAATCGGCCGAGTCGCTTTGCGAGTCTCGAGAATTTACCCCTAGAGAACCACCCCTCGGCCCTCTGGACCCCTGAGACGCGGAATCTCTCGACAGCTGATATCTCCCGGGGTTTGGATGGAACGGTAGAAAGCCCTAGATGACGGAAGGAAAGGCGATGAAAGCCGGCTAATCTCTGCGAAATTCAAGAGTCCCGGACGTCCCTTTAAATTTTTCCCGGGGGACAGGGGAGAGAGACAACGGAATTCCTGACTCCCTCGTGAAAAAGTTCATGAAAACTTCGAATTCGGGTTAAAATTCCCGGGGATTTGTAATTCACTGACACGGAATCTATTTTTTAAAACCTCTCGAGAATTTATAACTGGGGTTGAGATTTACGGGGGCTCATGATTCATCGACGCGGAATCCATTTTGTCACCGATAGTCCTGTCCCTTCAGTGCAAACCGCTTAGGGGTGAATTCGTCTCTTAGCATTCGTTCGGGGATGAAAATGCGAGGGAGGGATTTTCAATGGAAATAAATGATTTTGGCTTTCGGCGATGAGTGGTACCGGGAGGGGAATTTTTTTCTCTACGGGGATGCTCGACCCGGGGGTGCGTCCTTCTCCGAAGAGATGGTCGAAGAAAGGGAGGAATTTCACGGAGGAGAGATTTAGGCCGACGCTCCGAGGGGATTATTGTGAGAAAGATATTCTTTTGCGGATATATCGATATCAGAGCCTGGATGCGGCCCTTCTTCCCCCGATGTCGAAGGGATGAGTCCTCGATAAGGAAAAAAGATTTCCACCCCGGATGCCGAGGATTACCCCGAGAAGGTGGCGGTTTTCGAGCGGGGCTTACTCGAGATGGAATTTCTCCCTTTTTTAATGCCCATCCTCGATAAGGGAGGACCTCGGGGGTTTACTTAGTTTCTCTCTTACGTTTTATCGGTTTTTCTTCGGCCGGAGTTTGAACTTTTACCTTCCCGCGAGGGAATTTCAAATATCGACTGGTCATCGATAGGGCTGCACGAAAAGCCGCAGTTTCCTCTTTACCTCGTTTTCCTCTTCCACCTTGATGGGAAGACGAGACTTCGGCCTTTCAAGACGCAAACTTCCAGAGATGAGGGAAAAAGTATCGAATTCCTCTCCGGTGGTAACCTCCTTATTAATTTCCACCGGCTTGCACCCCCTTTATTTAATTCGACCGGGGAACGTGTTTCACCCCGATACACACCCTCGAGTTATCTTAAAAAAGAATCTCCTCGATTTCGAGTCGAACCTCGAATTATCTCGTTAATTAATTCCAAGATTCTTGCCTTCAACTTTGTCCTCAAGAAAAATTCTACCGTGTGAAATAATCATCCCCTGCATACTCGACGATCGGCATCTTGAAAGATGTATGTCATGATCTCTTAGATAGTATTTGTCTGGCGATTAAGTAGCAGTCATCTTGGGCATTTGCCAGGAGAAGTGCTTTTAATAAACATTCATAGTATACTATGTAAGTCCACGGTCGATTTTCGCATCGATACCTTTTTTCCCCCACGTTTATTATCTACAAGCGAGGGATGATAAAATTTGATGAAACCATTAGTTATTAAAGGAAAATTACAGTAAACCCGAAAATCATTCCGACACCCTGCGTTATATTAAACGAAACTTCGTGTGTTATTTTTTTTTTTTATTGTCCGGAGTACCCTTGTAAATAATTTATTTAAATTTAAACCGAAGTTTTTATCGGCGATCTGGCCTCCTCGGCGTGGATGCAAGCTCGAAGAGACCTAACTTTATTCATCTCGTTCCACCTTAATCGAAACACGAGACTCCGGGCTTTCAATCCGCGAACTTCTGGGAGTGAATTCCGGAGATGAGTAAAAAAATATCGAGTTTCCTCCTCGATGGGGAACTTCCTTATTAATTCCCGACGACTCGCGGTGCCCGACTCGATTCGATTCGACGCGATTGAGAAAACGAGTCCGACCTAGGGCACACGAGCCAGGATTTAAATGCCCCTGGGAACGGGCTCGATCTCGCAGAAATCACAAGCGACTCGATGGCTCTTCATTAATCTCGTCAAGTCGCTGATCGATCCGCCGAGAGAGACGAAGCTCAGAATAGAACAGAAAATAAGAAATAAGACGACGCGTCCGATCAGCTGATCTCAACGCACGAAACCCCTTCCGATATAGAAGAGGCTACTTATAGAATAAAATAAATCTTTTTTAATTACCCCCACTTGAAAGACGTAGAAAAATGTTCAAGACACGCAAGAAGTATCGGAATTTAAAGGTCCTTCGAATATATCGAGAAAATGATGGACTGGCTTAATTAAAAATAATTTTTTTTCTCTCTCTATAAATAGACGTCCAAAATGTCTTGGCTATTTTATTTTCCATACTTTGAAGGCAGGATCGTTAATCGAATTTCGGTAATGGACCTGGGATATTACGAGCTGGAATTAGAGGATGCTTTTCGGTGTGCGATGTCTTCTCACGAATTTTCACGCTTTCGTGTCTTCGCCCTCCTTTTCATGACCACGTTCGCTCTCGTTTTGCAGAAGTTACCGGGTTCGCAAAATCGTAACTCCCTCCGCAGGGCTCGTAATTACCGGGGAATTTCCGGCGAGGGTCCGACGTGCGACCCGGCGCGGAATCGCAGCGGTTCCGCGCCGGCGCGATAAATTACGGAGAGAAACCGCGGGGGCGTTTGTTATACCGCCGGTTGACGCGAATTTTATGACCGACTCGCAGGAATCCGCAGGCGAAATTTAATATGCGGCTCCGATCGTCCCTGGGGAGATTTACATTTGCCGAGGTTTTACGCCCCGCCGATGAAAAAGCTCTTTCCGAGCTTTTCTTAATGCTTATAAAATTGGACTCGAATAAAATTGCCGTGGCGCGACGAAAAATTGGGATGTTTACATTGCGGACATCTTAAGGCGATATGAAAGTGACAGCCGAAGGGTCGATCGTGAAACTTTTCTCCTGGGTGTAGCGAATCGCTTTCAACTTCTCCACGCGAATATTGAGACTCCAAGGAAAGCCCTGACCCCCATGAAATTTCTATAAAACGTTGTAAAAACATCTATAAACAAATTTTGATAAAGTTTCAAACGATTCGGTACACCCAGGTCGGCGAAAAGTTTCCTCAACGAGACCTCTTCGACGGCACTTCCATATCACCTTAACTCCTTCTGACTGACACTTATAGTTAACCATTTATTTTGTATATGTGAAAGAGAAGTTCCACATATAAAAATGAAATTTTTATTTACGAGCAAATATTATTTAGTGCGGTATTTTGTTCATTTCATCGGGTTTAGAGGGCCGAAATATATCCTCGGGGAACAGATTAGCTATCGTCGCTCGGGAGAATTTGCCGGCATCCGGGAATGCCATCCGGATGATAGCGGGACGTGTCGCTCGACGATCGAGCAGAAAAGCGGATTTCGCAGCGGGAAGATTTAGTCTCGAGATCGCCGCGAATGGAAGGGCGATAAGTTCCAGGCCGTTTCCTGTAAAGCACGGCCCGTCCGGGTTGTACAATCAGCTAAAAGCTCGCCGGCGCCTGGTCCTAAACTTGCCAGCAATGTGCATCGCTGATTGCGCGAAAGTCCTTCGAGTTATGGAACCCGACGTTTTCGGGCTCCAGAATATCCTTTGGCGTTGCATCCAAAAGGCAGAGTGCGATCCTAGAACGAGCGGATGCGTTTTGGGTCGCATAAAAAAATTAAAAGAAAAAATCGTAAATGTCGGACGCTCGAATTCAGAGGGTCCCAAAAATCAATCATGAGTCC